CCAGGTGTGTCTGACGGGAGATTCAGGGACAAGCGAGTTCAAGTTCCTGAAGCCGATTATCCCCAATCTTGCATCCCAGAGCATAGGCAGGGAAGTAGAAGAATATCCCTCATATCGGAATGATTCGAGTTTCTGATAAAGCATGGGGTATAAAATGCCGGTATTATGCCTGTTATAATCCTATTAAGAAATTTATCTTGATTTACCTGTAGAGGAGTGCTTTCTCACTAGTTGAAGTATTTTTAAAGTCATAGAATAAATTTTTTTACGCTTTTCATGATCCAGTTTTAGACCTAAGAACACTCCACAAAGCATGGAATGTGTATTGTCCTCTATCTCAATTATGCTTTGTATGCAATCTATTACATGACAAATCTTGTTTGAGACATTTTAAATTGGAATTCACTGTCTTCCAACATTATTGCTACTTTTATTTTCTGAGTTGATTAGAGTGCTGTACAATCATACCTAACCTAAATGTGTTTTTTAAAAAAACTTACTGTGCATCATACACTATTTTAACACTTTAAATTCTAGAGGTAAACCTGTAAGGGGAAGTATTTTAGAAACGGGCAAGTAGGTGTCCACAGAGGTTCAGTGAGTTCATTAAGGTCACCAACTAATAAATAGCAGATCTGAGCATCTGTCCTAAATCCTCTGATTCTGGGGCCTGGCTATAATGCTATACTGTTTTCTCTGATTAGATTATCATCTGGCATGTTTCTCCCTAATTAAGGAGAAATTTTTTTCTCATATTCATATTCCTGTTCAGTTTTCTCTATATTTGGAAAGAATAAGATATGTACTTGTCTGTGGCTTTATTTTTGTATAAACTAGTAATCCAGTTTTTCTGGATCAATTATTCAACTATTATTTTTAAACCTCTGATCTACCCAAATCTCACGTGGAAAAAAAAACGATCAATCTGTGTTTTCTCCTTATTATCTGAACATATGACCTTCATTTCATAGAAAAGATTAATGACCATGAATAGAAATATTACATAACTTTAATTGCTTTATTTACTAGTTTCCTCTCATTGCTGTCATTTTCCTGCAGTTGTCCCGGTCTACTCTTTTTAACATGTTTTTTCCTCTTTAATTTGAAAGTATATTTTTTAAAGTTTCTATTCAATATACTCCAGTGCTGGATTGAAAAAGTGTAAGAAAAAGAATAATTTAAATATATAATATTAAATAGAAACTAATTATCACTGAATTACTTAGAGATTCTGGAGACTTAAGGGAAAGCCTTGTCTGTTATAAAATTTGTAACTGCTTTTTCTTCAACAGTTTTCCAGATAATTGATGCAGATTGTATTCCGAATATACCAAAAAGCTAGTGCTGATAATTCATAATAGTAATATTACTGTGCATTACTAATGATGTATAGTCTAAGGACCAAAAAAGAGACTCTCACAGCAGTAGAACCTTAAGTTGTTTATATAGTATCAGAATAAAATTACTCAGTTTTTTCAGCAAATCAATGGCATGGAAAAGGGGAGGAGGGAATTTTACACAATGAGAGAAATTAATAGACATACCAACCAAATGTAAAGGATGGTGGATTGTGTTTGATTGATTCAAACAGCCACAACAACTTTGAAACAATTGGAGAAATCTGAATATAGGTGGATATTAAATAATATTAACCAAATTTCTTAGCTTGGTAAGGACATTGTAGTGGGTTTTTTTTAAGATGTTAAAAGCTAGAGATGTATAATGTAGTATTTATGGGTGAATACTCAGTTTTTCTGGGATGTGAAAATGTTGGGTACATAGGGTAAACAATTATGGAAAATGCTGATAATTGTTCTAGTTAGTTATGAGTACCTGAGTGTTCATCCTACTATTTTCCTTCATTATGGGGTTTGAAATTTTTCAAAATAAAAGGTTTTTTTTGAATTTACCTTGAAAAAAGAGAAGTGGAGTTAACAAAACTATGACAGCCTTCTGAGATACAGAATCACTGCTAGCATCACAGATTATACTTGTATTAGACAAACTCTCCAGCCTTTCCTGTCTAATCATTTGATATGAAAACTTCTGAGATAACCCTGCTTATGCATTCTTCTACCACAAGAATCCTAAGGGTGTTTTTTAGTCATGGCAATGAACTAATGTAAACTCATGGCATCAAATTACATGCCAGGTGTCTGTGTGTGTATAAGGTTAATCTTTTTCTGCCTCAATTTCTTTATCTGTCAAGTGGGGAACTCACAGCAGCCCTATGTGGTAAGCACCATTAATATCTCTACCTTACAGATATGCAAACTGAGGCAGAGTTTAAATTATTTGTCCAAGGTACATAGCTACTAATTATTCCCATAGTTCCTGGCAATGAAAGTACATGATTCTGAAAGTTTGCTATGTTACTCAAATTATGCATATATATATTTTAAATTTCTGCATATATTCTTTCTTCTCAACCAGAACGCTACATAAATATTTTCTTTTTACTACAAACTCAACTAGCATTATGTAAAGTAGTCTCTACTAATTTCAGTTCTCCTGTAAGGCCTTCAGACAGTTGTCTGAACCATAGGGTTTGGCGACAGTAAAAAGTGTTGTAACCTTACATAGCTGAGTGGTCCATACTGGCAAGAGTTGGGAATGCTGCATCCATTTTCATCCCAGAAAATGTGCGATCCTCTGAGGACGCGTGGTGGCGCTGCAGGATAAGAAGGTATAAACCAGAACCGCAGCTGCGGCTCTATTTACAGGCAAAACTCCCCAGCAGAACCAGGAAGCCCAAGGAAACCTTGGATGCCACAGGAGAAATGAGTCCTTTGTAAAGGACTACTCACCAGAATATTTCTGAGGTATCTTGTGGAAGAACCAGCCTCTGATACTGAGGGCTTTACAGCTCAGCGGAACTATCCTCGCCTGAAGCTACACCGAGGAGTAACAATGGAGTCCAGCAGGAAGCTCATTTGCAGACAAAGGCAAGTCCTTTTTTTCTTTCTTTTCTTGGGCTTGGCTCAGGCGGGCTCTGAACCTAGGCGCTATTCTGTGGTGGAGGAAACTGAGGGGAGCTCTTTAGTAACCAATTTAGCAAAGGACCTGGGTCTGGGGCATGGGGAACTCTCCAGGAGGGGAGCTAGAGTCATTTTCAAAGGAAATAAACTGCATTTACAGCTCGATCAGGAGACTGGGGATTTACTGCTAAATGAGAAACTGGACCGGGAGGAACTGTGTGGTCACACAGAGCCCTGTGTGCTGCGTTTCCAGGTGTTGCTAGAGAATCCCTTAGAGTTTTTTCAAGCTGAGTTACAAGTAATAGACATAAATGACCATGCCCCAGTGTTCATAGACAGAGATATGTTGCTAAAAATACCAGAGAGCACTTCTCCTGGAACTATCTTTCCTCTGAAGAACGCTCAGGATGTGGATGTAGGCCGAAATAATATTGAAAACTATATAATCAGTCCTAACTCCTATTTTCGGGTCATCACCCGAAAACGCAGTGATGGCAAGAAATATCCCGAACTTGTGCTGGACAAAGTGCTAGATCGTGAAGAGGAACCTGATCTCAGGTTAACCCTCACTGCTCAGGATGGCGGCTCTCCACCCAGGTCTGGCACCGCTCAGATTTACATCGAAGTCGTGGATATCAACGATAACGCCCCTGAATTTGAGCAGCCTTTCTATAGGGTGCAGATCCCTGAGGACAGTCCAGTAGGCTTCCTGATTGCCAACGTCTCTGCTACGGATGTAGACATGGGAGTCAATGGAGAGATTTCCTATTCACTTTTCCAGGCTTCAGAAGAGATTAGCAAAACCTTTGAAATCAGCCCCATGACAGGAGAAATTCGACTGAAAAAACAACTTGATTTTGAAACAACTCAGTCCTATGAGGTCAATATCGAGGCCAGAGATACTGGAAGTCTTTCTGGAAAATGTACTGTTCTGATTCAAGTCATGGATGTGAACGACAATGCCCCTGAAGTCACCATGTCTGCACTTACCAGACAGATCCCTGAAAACCGGCCCGAGACGGTGGTTGCAGTTTTCAGTGTTTCAGATCTTGATTCGGAAGAGAATGGGAAAATACGTTGCTCCATTCAGGACGATCTACCTTTTTTCTTGAAATCCTCCACGGAG